AGCTAACGATAGACATCACTTTTGGATGGACTTAAAAAAAATAGATGTTGGTCAAATTTTTGCATTTTTTTATAGGGGTAACATCACTTATTTTGAAGAAAATTGTCAAAAATTAAGATTTCCAGGTTTAAATGCAAATCGATAGGGAATTTTAATACGAACTCAACGAGGTATAACAATCCATATTCGGACAATATTTAGAATTTCCTCGGACAAAATAAGAATGCATTTTTGTGGAAATATAACGATAAAGCATTTTCCTGAAAACGTGAATATTTGAGGTCGTTTTTTCGTTGCTACTTGGCTAAATAGAGTGCTACAGTTAAAAGAAAGACTGTTCTGCTCAGCTAACAACCCAAGCTAACGATCCACATCACTTTTAGGTGGACTTAAAAAAATAAACTTTAGTCCAATTTTTGCATTTTTTTATAAGGGGTAACATCACTTATTTTGAAGAAAAAGGTCAAAAATTTAAGTTTTCAGGTTTAAATGCCAATCGATTGCAAATTTAATTACGAGCTCAACGAGGTTTTACATTCCATATTTGGACAATTTGTGGCAATGTTATGGACAAAAATATGTATTTTTTTTGCAAAAATGTTTCCAACCTTTAAGTTTTTAGGTTTAACAGTAAATATTTTTTGAAACATTTCTAGGCCAAAATAAAACTTAAATAGAGTATTAAAAACTTAAAGATAATTAAAACCGCGAAGTAATCATTGAAAACCAACTGATTTGCGAAGAGAGAAAAGGGACTTCAGAGCATCCTTAGCTGCATGTTGTAGCATACTTTGTGGCTGATACCCGGCAAGATCTCTCGTTACCAAACAGCCAAAAAAGCCACAGTGCTCGGCAAATAAAATAGTATCTGGTGGAAAAACAAGGGGAACAATAAAAATTTACAACCAGCCAAAACAGGCAAAATAAGCAGTTACCAACCAACGAAAGGGGGGAAAACCTCCGAAAGACAATGGAAAACACAAGGGGAACTCAATAAATTGTCATGCAGTAAAATGTAGTCAAGGGCGGAGGAAAAGCGGAAAGGCGGAAGGAAAGGAACCACGCGCGACTTTGTTTCAGGCGATGAGAAATGGCCAGGGGATTCTCCCTATAAACCCTATAAAATGGGAAGGGTTCAGCGGCGGGGCACGTAAAATGCCAAGAAAGTAGCAGAGTGCAAGTGGCATGCAGATACATGCTTATATATCCTGCACATCCTGCCTCCCCTGCCTTGCCTGGCCCAACTTGCAACTTGTCTGACCGAAAATCACATGTTCTGCTGTAGCGGGAAGGATGTGATTTAAGTTGCAGTGCAGCAGTGAACAAGTACCATGGGCCACAGCTACAGCTACAGCAAAAGCAACAAATGAGGCGGTCCTGTCTAAAGAGCTATATACCTTATAGCATGTGACATTTCGGCATTTGGCGCGGCGACCCGCTGAATTTTTCATGTCCTTCGCGCGGCATAAACTCACCTCAACCACGCTTTCTGCCATTTGGGACTGTAAATTAAGGCGGCTTTCGCTTTATTGGCTCTTGCTTTGGATATCACTAGCTGGGAGTGGTATAGGATTTACAGTAAGGTTTTTAGAATATAAGCCACCCAATTATGTATACAGAAATCAGGAAGTTTAAATCAATTAAATATGTTTCTAAGAGTATGCACCATCTTTTGTAACTTCAGCATTTAAAATTATTTCATACCTTTAGATACATTTTAAGTTATTCAAGTATATTTAAGCAATTACTCTTGAATCAATTTGGAAAATATAACCCCAAATTGGTTTCAGAACTACCTAAAGAGCATCCAAAAGTCCCCACAAATGGCCCTAATTTTTGTGGCAATTGTCGTTGTTATTGCGGCTTCATTTGGCTTTCAGGTAAATGGTCTCTTAGCATGGCTCTGTGCCCTGCGAGTGCATTAATCCTTTTTTATAGGCGGCGGGAAGGAAATTGGCGCAAATTAAGTATACGTGGTGTGGGCCCGGTCAGAGAGGCCATTTCTTGGCGCGGCGTTTACTTTGGCCAAATTGCATTAAAGTTGCATAAGTGCACACGCGTTTAATATTTAATTTGGCAAAAAGCTTTCCCAACACATTCGCAGGATCTGTCGCTGGCTTCGGCTCCTTTCCGACCTTCTGTCCGTCTGTCTGACTGGGTTTTGTCCTCCTATTTGGTGTCCTGCACTTAGAGCTGCCCTGGCGATAACGCCGTTGACATCCACGCTTAATAATATCCCTTTTCGCGCTGGAAAAACAAAAGCGCAGCCTTGTCTCTGTGATTTTTCCCCGCTGCGAGGACTGCGAGGGGAAAATGGGAAACGGGGAAAAGCGGAAAAAGAAAAGCGCAGCTCGCAAATGGAGATAAAAATTTGCGATGGCAAAGCCAAAGGAAGCGACAAAAAATAAAAAGCTAGAAAAAACAACAGCATTGCAGGCGGCAAAGTGCAGCAAAAGTATTTACAAAGCGTTATCACGCTGTGACCCTCTGTCACCTCCCCCCTTCGCCATCCACGCCCCTTTGAACTCTGAACCCCGCCCCATTTGGACGCCCTCTCAACACGTTCGCTTGTTTATTTTCGCCGCTGGCGTTCGCTTCTCTAATTTCTGATGCGCTGCAGTTTTATATAGTTAAATAAAAAGGCGCTTAAGCAGGCGATAGAGTGTAATCATGGCCCGAGAATGGATTTCAGATGTGGCCGGCGGGGAAATCGAGGGAAAAGATACGGTGGAATTGAAGCTGCGGGGGAAATGCCAAATTAAATGCGCATTCATCTCGCCCAGGAAAAGTGCAATGAGGATAATTCTTTAAAAATTCTGAGAATTCACTGAAACAAATAAATGGATTGTGGAATCGAGGTTAACACTATCGTGGGTAGTTTATGTATTTATTAAAATTGATATTATAGGGATTGCGTAGGTATAATCCAAAAGAAATATTCAAGAGCATTTCTGAGCATTTTAAATGAATACGAAAAACATGTATTTGCCAAAAATGTAATCTCTTTATTGGATTAAACTATTTTATAATTAGGATTACAGCTTATTTAATTTAAAACAAGGAAGAACGCTATAGTCGAGTACCTCGACTATCAGATACCCGTTACTCAGCTAAATGGAGATATGCAAGCAGCAAAGCGAGATTAAAATGCGCCACCTACCGGCGGTATACAGATTTAAGCGTTATGGGCGTTAGAGTGGGCGTGGCAAATTTTTTTTTGGATCAATCGATAGGTATCGACGAGACCAATACATTTCAGTTAAAATTTTTTATCTAGCATGAAAATTGTGGGCGTCACAGGTTTTTGCGGTTTGTGGGCGTTAAAGTGGGCGTGGCAAACTTTTTTTTGAGTCAATCGATAGGTAATGACGAGACGAATACATTTCAGTTATAATTTTTTATCTAGCATAAAAATTGTGGGCGTCACAGGTTTTCGCGGTTTGTGGGCGTTAAAGTGGGCGTGGCAAACTTTTTTTTAGGTCAATCGATAGGTATTGATGAGAACATTACATTTCAGTTAAAATTTTTATTCTAGCATCAAAACTGTAGGAGCCACAGTTTTGGGCGGTTTGTGGGCGTTAGAGTGGGCGTGGCAGTCTACTGAAACAAACTTGCGCTGCGTAAGAAGCTCAGGAATCTGCACGCCAAATCTCAATAGCCTAGCTCTCATAGTTTCCGAGATCTCAGCGTTCATCCGGACAGACGGACAGACGGACAGACGGACAGACGGACATGGCTAGATCGACTCGGCTATTGATCCTGATCAAGAATATATATACTTTATGGGGTCGGAAACGCTTCCTTCTGCCTGTTACATACTTTCCGACGAATCTAGTATACCCTTTTACTCTACGAGTAACGGGTATAAATACCAACATTGCCAGTACAGTCTTGTATAAAATATTTGAATTACTTTATCTCTAAAATTCAATAATAATCATTTTAATGGTCTACTGTTCTAACTATTCCTTTACCAGCGATTGGTAAAATATCTTTAAGCCCTCTGAAATAAGAGGCCGTAAAATATTACCGATTCATTATTTAAGACAATTTCCCCCCGTGCACTTGAAGGATCCTGGAACTGTTTCAATCGCTTGTCCTGTCCATCAATTCCGGAGAATCGAGTGGATCCTTAGGAATCCTTCGCTGTGGGAACGATTCCTGCTCTATCACCCCACTTTGTACTCCTCTAAATTCAGCTGCTCATCTCCTATTCCATTTGGCCAAGCTTTACGAGCTGCTGCTCAAATTTAAAGCTCATCAAGGGAGACGGATGCGAAACGGAATGGCTGTCTTGTCGAAATAGTTTCGCATTTTATAACTCACTTAAAGGCGCCGCCGGGCAGCGGGCCAATTAAATTGGGCAGCGGCAGCTGATTAACCTTGGCAGCTGCCACGCCCACTGCCCTGCCACTGCCACGCCCACTCCCGCATCCACCCCCACTCCCACACATACATAAACCATATTTAAAGTGAAGCCCAAGTGACCGTCACCAGGTCACGTCGTCGTCGTCTTTTACTGTTGTTGCAATGGTAATTGTGCGAGTGCAGCAATGACGTCAGCGCACATACACTCAGAGAAAAAGGGGGTGTGTTGGATGGGTGGCCACGCCCCTTTGCCGACCAGTGGGCGGGCCAACTGAGTTGCCACGGTAATTGTGTGCGCTGCTCCACGCTTCGGTTGGCAATATTGTTATGACCAAAAAACCAGGTCACAAAGGATCCCAGCCCCCTTTCCCGATTCCCCACCGACGCCACTGTCTTGGCCTCAGCTTTCAGCGTGAACGCGCGCATATTTTATTTGATTTATTTATAAAAAAAGATGGGAAAAACGAATAGTAAAATATAGAAAGAGACGTCATAATTTAGTAAAATGTTTAGCAAAGTAGGACCAAAATTCTAGAGGCGAAAATCCCTGCTGGCAGTTGGGGATTTCTCAGCTTCAACTCTTGTGCTATTTTGCATTTAATATTTATGCCACTTTTCCCTCTGTTTTGCAGGCATGCATCGGGCCCTCCAGTTCAGCTGCTCAACTTGTCGACTTTCGGCCCAAACCGCTGACCAGGCCAGGACCTCCCAGGATCCCCGGATCCAGGACGAAACAGAACAGAACGGGACACGGCCAGTCCTCAGCCATGGCTGCTGAATAATTAATGCAGTTTCGGTAAGTGCATTTGAGAAATACGCTCCCTTTTTGCACTTTTCGGTTTCCAGCTCTCAGTTTGCCTTAGTTTGGTTTCAGCAAGTCAAAATGCAGGGCGTCCCATTTAAATGCGCACTGAACAATTTTGGCAATCAGAAATGACAATAAGATGAGGTACGATTAAGATAGAAATATAAAATAGTCCAAGAAAAAGAAAGAACAAGTATACAGTTCGCCTTAAATCTTTCAGTTTCAGAAAGCCACCGCATTTACTTAAGTCCTGAAATCACGTGCAAAAGTGTCTAAAAGTATGCAGCAAAGTAATCGCTGCATACTCAGTATTCGCTGCTCAATTGAAGATCTTCCTCCTAAAATTCTGAAATGATATACATTGTTGTAATACAAAGTCCAGTAAGTTTTTGGCAGTGCAGCCTAGGAAATTCCTCTTCTGCCAAACTAAGCTTGACAAATGAAGTGTTCACTGCCCACGGCCTTCGAGGGGGCGTGGCCCATTGTCGCTCAGGACCTGGCTCATGCATAAAGCAATATGCGACATAGCTTCGCTTCTTCACTTCAGTTCTGTTCAGTTCAGTTCAGTTCGCTTTTTCTTTGGCTGCGTTCACGCGCCGGAAACGGAAATTGTCCACCAACAATGGCAACAAAATGGCAGCGGCCGAAAAGAATGGCCCCGCCATCCAATGGCATGTCAATGGGCGAAAGGGCGGAGGAAAGATAGTGGGCAGTCGTTCGGGAAAATTGTCCACTATTTTCACACATTTGTAGAGCTCATGAGGCGGGGAAGTAAATGACGGTATCTTTTTTTGGGTCACTCTCGAACCTCACTCAATGTTTTTTAGAGGTCGGTAATGACTGTGGAATGGTCTGGTTTAGGGGATTCCCTTTTGGTTTACCTTAAATGGAAATATCCGAAGCAAAAGGTTTCTGACAGGTTTAAAAGGCTTTAAAATTGTACGAATTTTTATATTATTATTAAAAGTAAAAGTTAATAACATTGATAAATATTATTTTTAACCTCTATCATTTTAAGTATGACCAATGGCTTATCGATACCTTTATTTATAGTTACATCCCTAGCATTTACCTTGACAAAGCTTGATTTAAAAACTGATTAGTTGGGTTCCCTTTGTTGAAATATTAACTTAATTTGTGTGATGAAAATCATTTTCCCTTTATGAAGCTCACCTAGATTATCTCGTGTTATCCTCTCCTTTGAGGAATACCTTAGCAATTTGGCGTTTTGCTATCTCTCTTTTTTCCCCGCCAAGGATCCCAGAGTATTGCAGAGTTCGTCATCCAGTCCACTTTCCCCCACCGCTTTCTCCGTCCAGATCTTCGTTATTTATGCCCTGATGCTGTTGCTGGGTTTATCTTAATGCTGTCCTGATACAACATTTTCATCGTTGTCGTCGCTCATCGCAGTTGTTGTTGTATTTGCACGCTTATTGCCATTGCTGCCACTGTGTGTGAGTGCACTGAGAGAAATAGTTGTTATGTCAATCAAAAATAATTGAGAGACTTCAAATCACTGTAAAATGATTAAAAATGTATGCTATATACAACAGAAGACCTTCGACAACTGTCTTTACCATACTTTTTGATGCTATTTTAAATGGTTATGTAACTGTAGTATTTTTAAAAAATATATTTTTATATCAGAATGTTTTTTAATGTACTACTTTTTTCTCACCGTGCTTGTGCAATGCTTATCCTTATCCACAACATCGCCTTGTCCTTTTCGTTCTGCTTCGCCTTCGCCTTTGCCTCGCTGTCCGTCGTTTGTTTTGTCATTCAATTCAATGAGGCTAATGTCCGCTAAGGCCCCTGCCCCTGCCCCGCCCCCAAAGGAGCCCCCCTCTACGCCCCTGTTCTTGGTTTGGTGGCTCTTCTGCGTCCATTGCTTCATGCTGTTGTTGAAGTGCCATTAAGTTTAGTTGTCACTTAGCCTCTTTGCTTTTATATGCCGCCCCCCTCGTCCTTTATCTTCTCCGTCTCCGCCTCTGTCTCTTTCTCCCTCTCCTTCTCCTTCTCTGTGTCCTGTCTCCTGTCCGTTTGTCGCTTGTCGTCTGCCGACCGTTGTTGTTATCCTTTTGGCTTGAACGTCTTAAGCGCCTAATGCCAGGGCCATAAAAAGTCCAACTAATGCTTTAAAGTGTGCCACACACACAGAGATAGCTAGAAAGAACTGGGCACAGAGGTAACTACACAGAGAGAAATTCAATCAAAGAATTGGTCTTTAACTTTGCAACATTTTTACCAAAATTTCAGAGATCCTTTTTAAACAAAACTATTTTTCAACATTTTATTTTGTGAATGAATTATATTATTGGAAGCATTTGAAATATTTTATAAAGTATCTAGTTATATATATATTTTTTATTGGAATTTTAATCAGTTTTGTTAGTTAGTTTTAATTAAATACTTAATTAGTATTGCTAACCATACTCATATCTGAAATCACTCATTTAAATGCTTAAAAGTATGCAACATTATTTTCATTATTAATGTTATTAATCCTTCATACAACATTATGTTTTTTTCTGCATGCTGGTAGGCATATCAAAAAGTGATTACAAAACTGTAACGATTTCTGTGGCACACTTTGGTATTTGATGGAGAAACAAATAATGCTGATCTCCAATCAATGGTTTGATTTATTTTTTCGGTGCTTAAGCTTTAGGACATCCAAAATGGCAACTCTTGCTTGGGTTTGGTGCTGTTTGTCTCGGTTCGCAGGACCTCTCTTATCTGGCGGCTTTATCGATCGTTTTGCGTGTTGTCTTTTGGCCGTTTGATTTTCGGCTTTAAGCGACGAGTCCATCCGTCCACTTGCCACTTGTGTCCTTACTTTATTTGTATTTTTATTTTGATTTTTATTCGCTTCGTTTTCGCTTGTCGGTCTGAAAATTGCGTGATAATTTTCACACAAACAGAGGGGCAGTCGCATTTTCCACGTATTCCGTTTGTGCTTTGCGGTTTTTCACCCGAAACGCTTGTGTTCGTACGGCTTTCGATTGAATATTTGCATTTTTATTGTCCCCTTTGCTTCATTAGCCGCTTGTCGGCCGTGTCCACTTTGCTGTCTCGTATTTTGTATCCCTCGGATCGCATCCTTTGGCGCATTGTGGCCAAAAGTTCATCTAAATTAAGTGCAAGCCATTTTCAATTAACTTTCGACGAATTCAACTTGCCCGAAAACTTGCAGCCAAAAATGCAAAAACTTTTGCAGCAACTTTTCCGGCACTTTTCGTTTTTGTTGCCCCGTTGCCGATGAATTTTCATTACGCTGCATATTTGTTCTCCTTGCCAGTTTTTCTCCTTTTTTGGTGTTTTTGTTTCGTTTTCTGTTTTTTTTTTTTGGTTTGCATGTAAACAAGCCGCGCCAATTTGTTGCCCTCTAACAAAAGCAGGGAGAAAAATTTTCGACTTCAAAACTTGTCAAATTCTGCAGAACCGAAACAACAAAACCGATTCTGAGTGGCAGGACATGGGGGGCGGAATATTTTGGGAACTCGAGTTCGGGGCAAGTGGAATACATTCTGCCCTTTAATGGTAGGAAGAAGTGCATTAAAAATGCAGATACAATGCCCCGAAAAATGCCTGACAGGCCAAAAAAGGGGGAGGGAAAGGCAAAATCAGGCGAGGAAATGGCTTTGAGGGCGTTTCTCTGTGTGCTTGTGCAAATTTCAAGTTGTCAATTTATGATTATGGCACCTCATGAAGCGGGGCAAAATGTAAATTATACGCCGGCGTGGCAGCGAAATGAAAACTCGAGCGAGTAACAAGCCAAATCGCATGTGCCAAGCTGGAAAACCCGTGGCATGAAAGTGCTGGCAGTGTTTTCGCTGGCCCCTTTAAAGTTCGCTTGCTACATTTAACGCTTTTTAACGGCGAATTGAATGCACTCACTCAATACACTCGCTGCGGAGTCGTTGTTATGTAAATGAGAATAGCGATTTTCCACCTGCCACCCCCTTTTCCACCTGCCCATTCCACTCTATCGACAGGCAGCGCAGGTGCAATCAAATATTACGTATACGCCGCGTGGTGCACAATAGTTAGCAATAAAGTTGGCAAGGCGGGGAGAGGCGGCAGAAAGGCACTGACTTGGCTAGCAAACTGTCAATTTGGTCGTTGCCTTTATTGCTCCTTACCTTATAACAACGTTAGGGGGGCGAGAATATTGAATTACTCGAAATGTGTGGAAAATGAGCGGAAAGAAATGGCATTACAAGGGCCGGCGGGACATCATTGAATGTTGCGGAAACTCGAGCTTTAAACTGCTATCGTAGTATTTGTATCTCTTAAGGATAATGGACCGTGAATAAGGAAGAATGTGCCAATCAAGGAGGTACTAAAGTTCAGCTTGAAGCTGATGCTATAGAGTTTTTGAAATGCTTAGTAAGGTCCCTAAAAGTATGCAGTGAAAAATAAATTTTGCCTTACTGAACAAATAACTCGCTGCATACTTTTAGACACCTTTACAAGCAATTTGAAAAAATGAACCGATTGATAGTGATAAAGAACAAGTAAGAAACTGGATAATCAAACAATTCCATTTAATTTCCCCATAGTTCGACTTAGCCCGCTCTCAGTTCTTTTTCCGGTAAATAGTTGTTGTGCTTCGGCAGCGGAAGCCGAGCTGTACGGTATGCACTCGCTGGCGTGGAAAGCTCTTTCCATTTGCCGAGCAGTGCTCATGTGAGGGGCATAAAATTTGATAGTGATTGAAAGGTGTAGCCTACTTTCGGGCGCATATAAAATGCATGTAATCAAGCGAAATGGCATGGGGCCAAATGAGATCGTCAGCAGGGGCGGGAAAATGGGAAAAAGGGGGCACATTTGCATTTGCAAATAACGCCCCTTGGACAATAATTGAAATTTGATTTGATTAGTTTCGATACGGCGATTGTTGTCGTTGTTCCGGCAGCCGTGTCCGCCGTTTCGTTAAATGGAAACGACAAATTAATTTAATTGTATTTTTGCTGCCGCGCTTAACTCCG